AATCAAGTAAGGGCCCCGGGACCGTCGATAGCTACACACTAATTACTTCGCATTTCCCGCATCGCAGCGTCCGGAAGCCACGTGTGTCAGCGTACGTGCCGGTGCGGCACAAGTAGACGAGGCAATTCCCTCGGACGTTGAAGCGTATCTGTTTAGAAGAAGCCGACTGTTTTAATACCTCCTCGGATGGTACATGGTATCAACATAGTTGACTCTGCAAGTGGCCGGCGCACCACGCCAACGACAAAGAAGCGAGCCCTGCGACTACTCCACTGTGCCGTAGGACATTTAAACCTTACATCGGTGTTAAGCGAGCGCTGCGCACGCTGGAGCTGTTTGCTGTCGCAGATGTCGAGACGACTGGGGCAAGAACTGCACACGGAGACAATAGCCGGAGGGGCCCCGTCGTCATGGTCAGTATTAGCTACACACTACGATGCTCGCTAGCGAGAGAGCTATGCAGTCTGCATTCACGCTGCAGCTATACATATTCACTGCTGCTGCAGGTAGTCGTAAGGCAGAGCGAGCCGCTGACGCTCGAATCTTGCAGTGACCGCAGTGTCTGCAACGCGGGAGGTGCGGATGGGCTCGGAGACGGCGAGAACTGCGAAGGACAGGACTTTTTGCAGAACCCCGAGCTGGTGAGCTACAAATTTTGCTTCTGCACAGGAAATAAAAGATGTTTTGTAAACTTTATACAATCACTGCAGGTGAGCTGCAGTAGCGAGGAATGTGAAGAAGACAGTGGATGGCTGGTGGCTCCAGCTAGAGAAGAAACTGGAGCTCTGTCAAGCCAACTGGTTACTGGATTTCACTTCACCTCTTCTCTGCCGGACTGACTTTACATTCACACAGAATTTGTGTCGTTTGCCTTTGCTTTGACCTTGTTGTTGACACTATAGTTGACTTGTTTGCCTTGCCTTCCCTTTCTACCTCGTTACCAAGTAGTTGAGACATTTGTGTAGTTGATTTGTTTGCCTTTGCCTTGCTACCTCACTTTGTTGACAAATGCACAAAATATTGTATCACATTATACATTTTCATTTAGCTACGATGTTTGTGTGTGATTATGTTTTATACATCCAACGTTGTTACATAAAACACTGCGCAGAATGAATGTAAGCAGTTAAAGATCACACTCCATGGACTTGCTTGTATATTATACTCTCACAAAAATGGATTTTCCAACTGAATCGAGGAAATTAGGTATTATAATTAGTCTCTCCTGTCATTAATGGTCATTTCCTGCAGCATTTCCTCCAGACCTACTCTTGGAACATCTTCACTGACATCACTGTCTCCTACTGCCACTGTCTGGAGTCCTGGATCTACAGCAAGGATAACAGAATAATGGTTGCAGTATGCTGAGAGTTGGTAAGGCAGACAATGACCACATGCCAATCTAAATTAATAGAGGGTAAACGGTCAGCAACAACTTGGCCACATGTAACACTAGACCATGTGATGCCAAGAGAAAAAAGATGTAAGGGTTCATTAAGTTTAAGAAATTCACAGGACTATGAATTCACATTGAGTAAGTCACCACAGCATCTAAAGCTTATTGTGATAGAGAGTGACACACTCACTGAAGAAGATGTTGACGTTCTTGCGGTAGATCGTGTCTTCCTCCAGGTCCTCCAGGAACTCCTCGTAGTCCTCCTCTGCCCCCTTCTCATTGGTCGTCGCCACGGTAACATCCATCTCCCGGTCAATCATTTGCAGCTGCCAGTTTCTCTGTTTCGACCTCTTGACCTTGTCTCCGTAGCTCTTCTTCACCAGGACCTGGGATGTGGGTGTAATGGTGGAAATCCAAGGGATAAGCATTAAAGTGCACGTCGGCAGTGCAAGTGTAAATCTGGGCTCTAGCCACACATTTTGGCTAAAGAGCTACATAGTATGCTTGCCATTGGGAGGGTAGTGTTACTATATTATAGTGTGGTTCTTTGGTTACTTAAGCTGCATGCCAAGCAGCATTGTTGCCCAAAAGTGTTGGTGAACTCAGTCTCAGAAACAGTATATAGTATGTGGAAAAAGTTGCTGAGTAGCATTGGTGGTATTTAAAATAATAGCTTCCACATCCTTATAAAAACAGTCGAGCAGAGTCAGTCCATACTATGAAAGCTCAGTTCCAGATAGGGAACCTTTTGTCAAATTATGGCAACCATCTTTTACAAACTCACCACATCAGGGATGTCTGCAGGGTTCATCTTGTCCAGATTGGCATCATTCAGATTTGCCTGAGACAAGTCAAACCTACATACAAAAAAATTCATGTGGATGTCCACACCGCTGCATTCTCCCGCTGCATTCTCTCCTACGATAAGAACACTGGTTGGTTTTGGCATTGGCCCTCAGTCAGTGTAAACTGTTGTCATAGTAGAAGGCTGCCGCTGTCTAACTACAAGCAAACCTATTATGTATACAACCAAAAGATAGCGAATCTAGTAACACACCCTTCTTGTTCTATTGGCAGCACGGATGCTACACACTGAATAGTTTCCTGTGAATAATTGTGTGTGTGTCTATCTACATGTATCTTCTGAGGTATTATACATATCCAGTGCAAAGACCAGCGCTCTCTCTTTTCATTCCCGTAAAAATATTTCTAGTGCGGTAAAAAAAGTCGCTATCCCTCTCTCCCTCACCCCCACACGCAGTCTCCATCATGGAGGAGATGTCCGAGATGAGACCGACAGTGTATCTGTTTGTCACTAGTCCCCAGTTCACTCACTGGCACCACCCACACATCACTCAGGACACACTGTGGAGGAGCAATCATAGACTGGGCAATACAATATTAGGAATTCTTTAATTTTCACACCTCTTATCTTACTACTGGCATGAGATAATAGAAGAAGGACAGTCAGGCAACAAAAGCTCTACCTTGTCGCTGTGGTTTGCAGAGATGTTGCCATGAGAACCAGGGGGGGTGGCCTTCTCGATGTGAAGGACGTAGAACTCGGTCAGTTGCCGATGGTTACAGAGACTAGAGAACGGAGTTCTCCAGTAGACACTGCTGGACAACTCCGCCACTGGAGGGAGAGAGACACATGCACACCAAAACCTTCTGCTTATGTATTCATTGTGTGTAGTGTTCCTTATTCCACTGCACCGGGAAGTATACTAATGCAATTAGGTGCATTATGTAAACATTGGCAATCACAGGCCTAACAAAAAACGAGAACAGTACCCCATCTGTCATTACCAACACAAGTATCATTTTGTATTGACTCCCAAAGGATAGAATGCCTCAGGAATAACTAGTCAACAGATGCCGGCCGAGAGACACATGCAGTGTTGACAGTAGGCAACCTGGCACCGAAACCTTCTGCTATATTTATGTATTCATTGTGTGTAGTGTGGTTGATGTTGCTCATTCCTAGCCCTACACACAATGCATTTGGATATTTGAGCGTGCTGCACTCAGAGGATTTCTACCATTATCCCCACACCCCAGGTCCTGGTGAAGAAGAGCTACGGAGACAAGGTCAAGAGGTCGAACCAAAGGAACTGGCAGCTGCAGATGATGGACCGGGAGATGGATGTTACCGTGGCACTAGTCGACACATACCTTGCAGGGTCTGTGGGTCAGTGAGGTGTAGTGAGGTGGTGACTCTGGTACATATGACCACCTGTGTCATGTGACCTAGAGAGCGAGCCAGTGAGAGAGGGAGACAAACCACCTCGTTCTGGGAGGAGAGGAGGGGAGGTGTGGGAGAGGGGAGAGAGGAAGGATGGAAGAATTATTATAATTATATGTGTCCCTAATGTTGTGCGATGCCATGGCCACATGCCAATTCCCTAGGTGGAAACAAAATCCAAATGCAGGGTAGTAGGGTATGACTTATCAGGCAAACTGACAATATTATGATGATTACCTTACAGACAGGCACCAGCTCCACGCTGAAGGTGTGCTTGTATTGGAATGTATTGCTGTGAATGTCATGTGACACGAGCTCCTGGGACGTCTTATACCTGAGAGCACAAACCAGAGAAGGTATGCACGCAACTTGGCATTGGAAACCCAATATCCTCTCATTCCCTCCACCGAGAGGGGTTACCCAATATCCTCTCATCCTATCTCAACAGGAAGTATGTTTGGGTTGCCCTGCCAACCAGAGAAAGTGTTCATGCAACTCCCACTGAATCCTCCATTCTCACTCACAATTGAGGGGACCAGGTGGTGGGTATTGTAATCTGACCTGGTCTGTTCTTCAGTTGTAACTGAGACGCAACACGGTATTTGAGACATCTACACTAGTACTCATCATCACACACACAATAGGTGAGGTGAGGGGAGGGGGATGGACGAGGAGAAAGAGAATCCACACTCACTCACCGCACGGAACAACAGTCTCGCAGAAGTCACCAGTTTCCTTGCCTCTTGTTTCTGAGCAAAGAGAAGTCGAGACCGTCGCTCGTTTCTTTTCACTTGATAGCCGACATGTGTGCACCCTGTGCTTCAGTATCAGCTGCTCCAGATAGAGGAACGTCTTCTTGTGACATCGTCTAGGGTCGAGGGAGGGTGAGGTAATGAGTGTAATGTTGCGTTTTCCAAGCTCCTACGACGACAAACAGCATAAGCATTCAGGCAATAATGGCACCAAAGCAGTTTTTATGGTTGTTGCTTAGGGGCTGAGCCATTTTGGACCAAAGTTGACACACTCCCATTACTGCACTGTCTCTCGCAGTAATGTATTTGCTCTTAGGAGCCAATACTGCCTGAACCCTACAAGCTAGGGTTTGTATACAGTGCCACCCACGGAAACTATTGGTCTGGAATATGTTAATTCGCGTTACGACAGAGATAATTATGTCTACTTTGATGTTAGGTGAAACAACCCTTTTGTCGTGACTTGGACCGCTGCCCCTCCAGAAATCCTGGCCTGCTGCGGTGACAACTCTTGACACATCTGATGATGACACCTACTCCACCACAACACCTGCTGAGAATAGCCCCTGCCACCACCTGAGGGTCACGTGACAATCACATGATATTGTCGTCATGGAAACAGCCACACGCACCTCTTTTTGGATAGTGAGTTTGACTTAACGCCCTCTTGAGTGTGGTTCGGCGTCTGTTCGATCCAGACAAGTCGCGGCGTCGACCAGGTGGATCTTGGAGAGTCCTTTCAGCCTCTTGAGGCAGACGGCTAGTAGTTCGCGTGACTCGAGGGTACAGGACACCCAGCTGGCTGGGGGCTGGAGGTACCTGATGAGAGAGAGAGAAGAAAGTTTAGTTGAACACCCTCGTGCAAGAAGAGAGGTAATACTTCTAGAGTAGAGTTAGCTATGCACTAAGGACAGCAAGAATCAGGTTTCTTTGTTTACAAACATTATTAGGGACAATTCTCCATGAAGTTTAAAAGAGATGTGCTGTAATAATGTGTATACCTCTCACATCCCTTGCAGAAATAGAGGGTGGCCTGTTTCTGGATCCCCTCGGTGATGTCCACTGAGGTCCTCAGGCAAGCCACGCACGTGTTCGTCGGATTGGGCTCTATCGGCGTCCCGCACTGGCAACAGAGACTGTAGGCAGAGAGAGAAATAGCTAGAGCTAGGTGGTCACGTGATCTCACATTCTCCGTGTGGCCGAGGCTCCGTCTGTCGCTGGCAGGTACTCCATTCCAACGTCCATCTTCCCCGCTTGGAGCAAACTTCGGCTCCCCAAAAAGTGCTGAGTCAGTTTGTTTATCCAACGTGCTTTTTCGATATTTCTCACTTTCTGTTCATTCGCTAAAATAGACGAGAGTCAGGCAGCTTTTCACACACCACGGACAAAGCTCCAGCAGCGTGCAGCCAGCTATTCAACTCCTTCCTTCTCCTTGTTTGCCGCCAAGGTTAGTCCTACCTCCACTGCTAAACTTCTCGCCCCACAACTACTACGTAATCGGTTTTGATCTACATCTAATCTTGTGTGTGTGAAACTGTTGTTTACTACGCAACGTTGATTGTGTTTAGCTATTGCCTAATGAGCCGGCCCGTCAATCAGATTCTCCCCACAGACAGAGAGAGAGAAAGAGGAACACAAAGTTGAGGCAGGGAGAGAGAAAAGTATGGCTCCGCGAGTCGGGATAGTGGCGACTGGTGAGCGACTCTCTCACCTCATTCCCCTCCTCCACTCCCTACACATCCCCGTCTCCGCCATCTGGTCCCGTAACCACGACGAATGCCGTCGCCTGGCAACCAAACACGGCGTCCCCCTGGCAACGCGACACTTCCAGGAGCTGCTGGTGCATCCAGATGTTGACGTGGTTTACGTGGCAACGGACCCTGTCCTCCGAGCGGAGGTGTCAGTCAAAGCGATAACGTCGGGGAAACACTGCGTGTCGCTTTCTCCCATGTCAGTCAGTTTCTGTGACGGGGAGAAGATGCTAGGGGTTTCCCATTATTATCCTCAGCTGCTGAGTCTGGTACAGTGTCACCTGAGACACCTCCCTGCTACATTGAAAACTGAGAGAAATGGTGGAGGCTGGTTTCTGTGGACGACTGCTGGTTGTGGAGGCAAAGGTCACGATGGGTTCGCTAATTAGAGACGAGGCGTACAGCTGGAAATGTGACCCCTCTGTGGGGGGCGGGGCTTTGAACACGATCGGGTCTCACCTCGTTGATCTTTTGACCTTTACGACGAGAAGCAGAGTGCGGAGGGTTCAAGGTTCACTGAAAACGTTTCGTTCCCGGACTCCGACCATTCACGGTTTCCGACGAGTCACCAGTGACGATTACACCTCGTTTCAGGCGGAGCTTGACAATCAGGTGGTTGCCACGGTGACAATCAACACCCACGCACAGGACTGCTACGAATTTGAGTTCTCAGTCACAGGCACTTCCGGCCGTCTCGTGCTCCGAGGAATGGATCTGTACGGGGTTAAAACGGATTCGGGACCCGGCAGAGAAATCCTGATCCACAAACAGGACAAGCTGGATGTACCGCAGGACGTCCTGGATTCCAAACACTGTCCCGATTTCTACCAGCCCTACCTGGTTGGGTGTAGGGAGCTGTTTGGAGCCCTGAAGGAAGATTTCGAGCAAGCTAATCACAGGCACACCCCTCGGAGAGACAGTCTTCAAAGAGTTCTCGTTTCGGCTAATTTCGAAGACGGACTATACGTTAGAAACGTGCTCGATGCCATTTCCAAGTCTAGTGGGTGTGGCCTGTGGGTAGAGGTCGAAAAGGTCACCGTCGAGGAAACCAGTAACCCTTTCTGGACCAGCTCTGACGCTCGTTTCAACGAGGGCGTGTCCCCCACCAAAAAACAGCGTCCCTCTCTTTAGTTTAACCCCATCACCTGCATCTTATCTTATTTTTGTACATTTTTTAGCCTCATAATATAAAATATTTTCCAGTGCTATTATTTTCGTTCTCCAAATTGAGAGTAGACAATTTTTCTCTCTTGTGGGGTGAACTTGAGTATGGAGCTGATGGAGCGAAGGTGATCCTCTGGGTGGATGTCTGCCAGGAAATGATAGACTGCCTGTCGCAGGAAACAGAACGTCATTGTGTCCAATCCCTCCTCAGAGTCGCCACCAGCTGCAGTAGAGCTGTGGGGAAAGTGAAGAGCACCGGAGAGCACTAACTAATGCAATTTCGTATGTTCAAAGAAAGATTCAGTGATTTTCTCGCGCTTAAACTCCATCTGCAAGGGTACTAACTCTAAAAGTTTCACAAGTGCAACAAGCACGAAAACCAGACTCTTTTTCAGGTTTCACTTGCGAAAAGGAAATGGACGATGGACAAACAAAAACAGTGGTTTACATACCTGCTGCGTTCCTTGTTTCCGCGAACACTCTTCTTCATCTCCAGTACCTGAGAGGTGAGTTGAGAAATGGTCTCCTCTTTGCTCTCCCTCACTTCCTCCAGTTGCCTCTGGAGCTCTCTGCTCCTCCCTCTCTCCCTGACCAGCTGGGCCTCCTGCCTCTCACTCACCTGGCGACTCTCTCTTACCTATCATCATACAATGTGGCATGATAATACCCTACCAAGAGGTTCAATGTACTGTATAATTATATAGCATAAGGCACAATGCTCGGCTGCAGTAGAACTTTGATGCAGTAGAAGGAGCTTAGCAGTACATCTAGTATGTTTGTGCTTTGAAGTGTGCAATTTTAAGAAACCAGTGCTCGTGGTGCCAATAGTTTACCTCCAGCTGCCACTGCTCTGTCAGCTCCTCCATTTCTCTCACGTGCGAGAGACTCTCGTCCAATGATTTCGCAATCTTTGTCTTGTTGGCGATCTCCCTCGCGCCTGCATCTTGTACGTCTCCACCTCCGTCTTGAGCTCAGCCAACTCTCTATCCCTTCTGATAGGAGCCTTCGCGATTCCTGCACACACAGCAACAGTGTTGGTGTATAAGTTTATTCATAACTTTAGTGTCTCCGAGAAATAACGGGCACCTCCTAATGGCAAGTAAGTAAGCAAGGAAGTTCATTTTACCTCCAGAGCTGTCTCCAGGTCATTCAGCGTCGACCTCAACATCTTCCCGACCTCATCTTCCGTACTCTGACACAACGGATCCTCTTCTTCTCCTTCTCTCTCGCTCTCCTCCCCCTCCCCCTGTCCCTCCCGCCTCTCTCCCTCCGCCTCCTTTTCCGTCAGGCGACTTTCATCTCGGACGAGTGGGTCAACGCGTCGAGTTCGGAAGGAGACAGCGCTGCAACGTAAAAACGATCGCAAGACAAAGTAATGCTGGCAAAAATGGGGGTGGGGCTGACTTATTGCGCGCGTAAACGGTCGCGACACTCCCCCGAAAACGGCTATGGGGCAGCTCTCTTATTTAGAATTCGACATTACAACTTACCTGACATTCTCTCTGTCTCACGCTCTGCTTTTCACGTCTATCTACTAGGTGGATGCGCGCTGCATGCATATTACGCGCACGCATGCGCAAGTTATTTAGCCCCGCCCCCCGGAAGTCGACTGTTGTCGCGCTATAAAAGTCAGCTCAAAACGACCAGATGAGCTTCGTTGGTGCTCTGTGGTTGTCTCTGCCGACCTTCGACGTAGAGTGGCGGGTGTGTGTACTGCGTTTGTGTTTGCAAGAGAAAGCTAATCGGGCGTCGTAGAGAAAATGGCGGCTGATTCCCCGATCCTCCTTCAGAAAGATAACACGTTCACGAAATTGTTCGTCGGCGGACTGCCGTACCACACCACGGACGAGACGCTGCGAGCCTATTTCCTCCAGTTCGGAGAGATTGAGGAGGCCGTGGTTATACACGACAGAGTCACCAGAAAATCGAAAGGATACGGATTTGTAAGTCGCTGGACTGTCCTTTATGCAATATCCGCCGGAGAAACGCGAGTGAGGGGGTAATTTACAGCGCATTCTCTCGCTTCTTCCCTCGCAGGTGACGATGGTTGATAAAGAGGCGGCCGAGAGAGCTTGCGCGACTCCGAACCCGTCATAGAGGGACGGAGAGCAAACGTCAACCTTGCGTACCTCGGAGCCAAGCCGAAAATGAACGGTTACCCGCCAGGTATACTTAGCTACCGACGTGTCGCTAGCTAACGGACTTTTGGCGCATGTAGCGCACTATTTACCCTTCGAATTCGGCTCACTTATCGCACACTGTATTGAAAGACGTTCCTTTTGTCAGCGTACTAATTGCATTGCTAAGGCCGAGCCGACGGACAAAGAAACGACGCAAACTGAGCGCATAGGGAACGCGTGTCTACACGCCTCTCTGTGAGGAGGAAAGTGAATGCGGTCTTTGCGTGTATTGCAACCGCCCTGGACTGCTTGCATAGCGACACTACACAAACTTTATCTTCCTCTCGTTATAAATTGACCATCATCACAAACTGCACTTCTCTCTCTTCCACAGATGGTCCACTGGCTGGGCTCAGTTCTCCGACCGGTGCGGATACTATCTTCTCTCAGCAGTAAGTAGAGAAACTGTTGATACTGGCTCGTGAATACTGAGACTAATAGAATTAGCCGAGATAGGTGCTCCAATATATGTGAAGTTAATCAGGTGGATAATATTGAGTTGCAGCCTCCTTACCAATGCCCATATGTAGAGGATACTCCCTCACATGCATGCTTAGGCCACTAGCACAGAATTCCAAGCTATGCTCGAGTGTTAACCACAAGTAAGAGCCTCAGTTTCAAAATGGGCCTGTTTTTGTATGGGTGCCTCCTGCATCATATGGGATGCAGTGAGGGCGTGCATTTTGAATTGAAAACAACTTGCACCGATTCTAAAGTGTTTGTAAAAGTAAAGCCGCAAAGGGAAACTCGGCATTCACTGCCCAAGTTTCAGATACTATTTACATGGGGTCGTTTACACAACCCACTCCCTTACTCTCTCTCTCTCATATCTGTCTGTCTCTCTCTCTCTCTCTCTTCTCTGTCTCCCCCTCTAGTTCTCCCCCTCCTCTTCCATTTGGAATCCAGACTCAAGGATTCATAATCCCCGGTCCTGGGTGCCCGCCATTCAGTCCACCTCCTCCCCCTCTCTTGGGACCCTTCCCCTTCATCCCACCTCAATTTAACCCCGGATTCGGCTACGGACCGCCGTTCTTCCACGGCCCGATGAACATATCCCAGTTCCCTCCGCAAGGAATGCCGCCGCTAGTACCCTACAATGTAGCTAATTGATTGGACCATTCAAATTCAAATCCACAGTGCCACCACCACACTCAGTGGGCAGCATTCACTGCACACACAAACATACACACTTTTTATTGTCCCTCTTTCACATCTGAGCATATCTCTGCCTTTCATATATACACCTGCGCATTTTATATATTATAATGCTCTCTCCTCACTTCTTGCTTTGCTTTTAAACCAGTCTATATGTTCTGTAGTAAGTCAATTTTTTTGTAAGATAGGAGAAACGGTGGGTCATAGAGCTTGCCCAGTGTCATGTACCATTCCTGCAAGGTATATATATAGCAACTTATACAAGGAGCACACGCTAAGGCCGACATAATATGACTGTCAATGTATTACTATATTTACCACCGCAGATGACTTAAGTATTAATTATTATGTCTATGTCATTTGCAAAGGGTCCTTACCATTATAGGCTAGCTCAAAAACAGGTATATTCTTATATCACGTCTCTTTTATATACTTCCACAATCATCATCTTTTCTTTTTACTCTGTGAATCACTTCATAATATTCACCGCAATTCCTTCTGTCCACTTCTCTATTATATTAAAATTATTTTCCGAAAACCCTTTTTTCAACGCTGCAAAAATACCCGTCATCGTTGCACATGCTTTGGATAAGGTGTATATAGAAAAAAGGCAAGGTGGAGATAGTTGTATATAACTATTATCGTTGGTTAAGTGACGATATAAAGAACAAGCTGCTGCTGGCTTACGGAAACATTCGTGTCCAACCAAACTCACCGAATGTGTGACAGATCTGAACTGTGTGCTTGTAGCAATAGAACTTCCTTGTAGGCTAACAATCTTTCACCCACAATCCTCAACACTGGGTATACATACATATCAGTACAGAGATCATAAACAATAGCCAGCCACTGGGTATAAACAGGGTATGATACACAGAAGGCTATAGTGCGTAATGCTGCCTGCAGTGTTTTTGCATGCTTATCCTTCAAGAATAACCTTTCAGTTTCCCAGGTTGTGTTTAGCCACATGGTCGCGCCAGCCGCATGCCACACACAGGAACAAACACATTGCAATGGGCCGAAATGCCGCATACTTTTCTCAGACATCTTGCCACCTGCCGTTTCAGTCTCTCGGTTTACTTTCATTGGAAAACTGCTACACTATCACTATCAACACAACTGTACTTGTTTAGCTATATAGTGCAGTTTGTATTACAATGTGCATGCTTCAAAAGCTGTAATGAGGTTAAGAAAGCAATGGTATACCCACTATTTCATAGTTTATCTTAGAGATTCCATATGTGTATGTGACTGGAGTATACCTTCCATTGAAGATCTGGAGACAATCACTAACACCACATAATACCCGGCCATATATATTTCCCCAACTTATAGTACAACTATAACGTTATAGCTCTACAACCATCTACAACTGAGTGAGTCAGCTTTAGTGCTGGAATTGCGGCCGGTGGTTTTGCTAGCCGAACTGACACTGTTCTGGATTTGGTGAGTGGAATGCTAGTTTTACTACATCTCAGTCAGCAGGTATTATACCAGTCATGTGTAGCACGCAGTATGTGGCTTATTGAAGCTCCATATGTTGCCAGCCAGCTCAGGAGCACGCATACAGCCTCACCCTGACCCTATCGCCTGGGAAACTTCACCATTTACCTTCTGATGTGGGCTCATCCTATACTTGCTCCATGACCCACATAATTTTATGGGATAGGGCTCAAAATTTACTTGGGCAACATAGAATATCTAAAATGGAGGTAATTTTTAGCTGCTCTCACCACGACACAAAAAAGTTTAGTTGGTGAGGCCTAAAAATTTTGATGGGCAACTATATAAGCCAATGGGAAGGTATAATACCACAAATGTGGTATATTATGTTTACACATGTTTGCTTCTCCCACGACCGATGGTTTGACAAACAAGTCTCCTCATATGCACTAAAATGTTGTCGGGTATCGCTATCTCCGCAGTAAACACTGAAAGTAAAACAAAATCTCTTGTTTTTCACGAAACACTCTAGTTACTATACATGCAGCATAGTACATACGTACGAAAGTGAAGGCTAAACTAAAATTTCGCTAACAAACAAAATCTAGAAATAGTCTAAAATTCGGCAGCTAAAATTTTCCACAGTTGGATCGGTTTCCATGACTACAAGTTGAGGTCCGACGCCGTGGTAACGAGCTGCTTCCCGTTCCACATTGTCTTGAACTGCTCCGGGACTGGATGCTCACTCTGTAGTGAGGGAGGGAGGGGAGGGAGGGAGGGGAAGATTAGAGCAGTAAGTCTCAGAAGGTCTTAGAAAGAAAAGAGGCTAACTTTTGACGGGAATCATGCCAGATATACAACATTTTTGCCAATCAGTTGGTAATTTGTGTCTGTGTAAAAACTATATATACCCACTTCTGCATCTTACACCCTCCATTCCCTTACCACACAAGCACACATGGTGCTAGTGAATAAGACACAAAGTAAAAGTGCCTCTTCAGATGTGGGCTTTAGAGTAAGGCCACAATCCCTACCATCTTATAGGGATCAACACAGTAGTAGCTATATCTACACTGGGGGGGGGTATCATGGTCACATGACCTACCATCTTATAGGGATCAACACAGTAGTAGCTATATCTACACTGGGGGGGGTATCATGGTCACATGACCTACCATCTTATAGGGATCAACACAGTAGTAGCTATATCTACACTGGGGGGGTATCATGGTCACATGACCTATGTGTGACGTGTGGATTAATTACACCATGTGACATCAGCAAAAGATCACATGACCCATTACAAGTAAAACTACTGCTGTGCGAATTTCAATTTCAAAAACGCTGCCTGTTAAACTCACAAATTCTCCGTCGGTTCCCTTGGGAACACAGATGTTCATCTCGGAGGATTTTGCCGAGACGATCTCACACGACACGGAGACCTTGCTCAGGTACACCTGGCAACCGTCTGTCTTGTCGATGGACACCGTCGGACACTTCCCGTTAACCTGGAACAAACGGGTTAAAACTTTTTAAAATCTGTGAGAGTAGGTGGAGTTGAACAAATTTGGGGTTCAATTAGTAGCAACAGTGGAACCAAGGGGTTAAATTTGTAAATTAGGAGATAAATTTGGAGTTAAAAAATGGAACGAAGGAGTTAAATTTGTAGCCAAAGTGGACTGAAAGAGATGTGCATGAATTAGTTTCCTGAGAAGTGTATGAGTAGCATACACGGTTACAACAGGGACGGTAAGTAGTTACACCAAAAAGGAAGCAACAGTCAACCAAACATGGAGGGTGATTTGAGGAAATGGGAAGGTGGTGATGGTATACAGTATGACCACTGAGAGGATGGGAGGACACACACACACACCACGAGGTGTGAGGATATGGCGATGGTTTTGATGGCGTCTGGCTGCCAACCAGCTACAACAATCACGTCCACTGGAAGGCTTCTTCGGACAATCTCGCACACTACGGCTTCACTGGACGTTTCTCTCACTAGCATATCATCTCAAGCCGTACATTTCCTTGGCCACACCCACTTTAATAATTACCTAGAAACCTCTGAATAAGGGACAACTTGGAGACGTGGTAAAGTGTCCTTTAATGTCCCTTATTCAGAGGTAGTATAATAATGTATTGGCATAATTATATGGAGAGCTAATTGTCCTATAATAGGAGAGGTGTTCCTTGTTAAGAGGGTCCTGTTTCAGAGGTTTCACTCTATTGTATCGTACCTGGACTTGTGTACTCTGACAGTTGATGATCTCACAGGAGGAAATGACATCATCGAAAACCAGGGCACACTTCTTGCAGTTATCTGAGGGAGAAAGAGAGAGAGAGAGAGAGAGAGAAGGAGTGACATTGAATATTATCGACTGCAGATTCCTAACTTTTCAGACAAATACTACAGTCACGATGTGTAAGAACAAACTGGTATAGTGGAACCCCTCTCTAAGAAAACCTCTCCATTAAAGACACATTATCTCTCACAAAAACCCTGAAATTAAGACACAGATTTCTTCTGTTCTCATTTGTGTCTGGATTGGAGGGGTTCCACTGTATCCACAATAAGTTAGGAGAGAGAGAAGGGGAGAGGAGAGAGAGGTGAGAGAGACAGTGTATTGGTACGAGGGGCAAACTGAAACTCAAAAGAGAAAACTGTTTGTGTTTTGGAAGCTGCCCAAGCGAGGTCAAAAGGACTGTTTACAGAGACGAGATATTTGGGACACTGGTGTCTTTCTGTCTGCGGCTGTCTTCAAACAACACTAACACCACACAACACTCGGCTCCATAAAACCAGTACACTCTCGTACTTTTATTGGGTACATAAAGAGTCAGACAGGCCAACCAACAGCCCTGAACACCTTGACTATACCTAGAGAATGCAGTGCAACCCACACAAATGAACTCAAAGTCTGACTGTGGAAATTATAATCCTCAATGTCAAAGACAATGTACACGCATGAAACTTTGTACAATAGACAAGTAAGTATGGGAATATTCATAGGGGTGTGGTTTATGGTATCCATGGAAACACGGTGTTCTGTGTTCCCATGGAAATGCATGCTAATCGTTGTTGCCATGGAAACATGTTTGTTGTAGCCGTGGAAACGGTGTGGTTACCGAGGACGATGGAGTTGCATTTCCCCTTGATGACGAGGGTGGAACCGGTACACTTGTACATGTACACCGTCTGTTTCGGGTTGGTTTCCGTGATCTGTAGTCCCTTCTGGTTCTCCTGGTATTCCTGGAGTTTACAAGAGAATACTAGAGTACACAAAGAGTTTACAAGAGAATACTAGAGTACACAAAGAGTTTACAAGAGAATACTAGAGTACACAAAGAGTTTACAAGAGACTACAAGAGTGTACAAGAGAAGGTGCACAAGGATAATACAAGGATGCACACAAAGTTTACTGTGGAGTATCCAAGAGGAATACAGAGAATATGCAAAAGATTACTAGATTTTCTTACAACTATCCACTTCTTGTTCTGCAGTTCCAGTTTCGGTGGTTTCTTAGCAGCCACAGTGGCACCATATTTGGGAGTGGTGGTTGTCGAGGAAGATTTGACGCTGGCCTTGACGACGGAGGACCCTCGCAGCGCCGGGTTCTTGTGGGTCTTCATGTCGTCTGTCACCTTCTTCAGACCTGCCGGGGCGGATATGGGACAAATTTTTGTGGTCAATCAAAAACATTTTAACACTTTAAAACCGCTTTTAAATACATAGAGAAATGGTTTTGTTATAATCAGGCTAATGTGTAGGCAAGAAAATAGCCTTCCATAGTTTTCATGACATAATGTTAGTGAGCTAGGTTGTAACCATGGAAACATTGTGACTCACCCTTGGTAACGGCGGCTCCTTTGCTGAGGTCAGCCAGTAGAGCACTCTTCTTGTCTGCTTCTGGATCCGGGGCTGCTGCATCGCTGGGCGGGACCACTGCAGGTGGAGGAGGAGGGGGCGGGGCTCCAGGACCACCCGGTGGAGGAGGAGCTCCACCCGATGCCGACAATACTGGCCCCTTGGGGAGGAATATCATGACATCATTACGACATCATTGCACAGTAAAACCCCCCTCTAAGGACACCCCTGAAATGAGGACACCTCTCTAATAAGGACACCTTTTCTTTCCCCAAGAACAGTTCTTTCAACCCCTGAAACAAGGACACCTCTCTAATATGGACACTTTCCTCTGTCCCATTGGTGTCTTCACATTATTAGAGGGGTTCCACTGTAACTGTCTCTCACAGGGTGTCTTACCTCGGGGTTCCAGGACAGTCCTGTTGTGTGATGCACCTTGACGTAATCACGCAGGTCCATGATGGCTGCTACGAAGGCACGTGCCCATTCCACATGATTTCTGCGTGGGGCAAAGACGTGACACAAGACAGCATCTCCCATCATCCAATTGTTTGCATGCAGACACCCGGATCATCAAACAGTGCACATACAGTAAATATCAAGTTAGTGACACGTTTTGGCTATGTTAAGGTTAAACAATACTTGCCTGCTGTGCTTTTCTCCTTTTATAGCCAATGTCTAATTACAATGGGAACCCCATTTAAATAATGATTACGTCATTCTTACTCGTCTTTTCCCTTGTATTCCTTGATGATTCTGTTGGTATAGAACTGAGATTGATCAGCACTCTCCTTCACATAATTCGCCGGCTTTGGAGCCTGAGGTGGAGGGACACTTCAGTCTCTCTTCTCTCTCGCTTTCTCTCCTTCCCTCCCTCCCAAATACCTCCACGCACGCACACACACACACACACACACAGAGTACACATCACGTCACAGTACATACCACGGTAACCCAGCCGATGCAACCAATGCCCTCCTTCACAGCCATCAAGTGGTTAAACATCTTACTTCCTCTGTTCCTATCACAGTAACCCTGAACAAAAATGGTTAAATAAAACTAATTTTAGTGACAAGTGTCTAAATCTATCACTTATTGTGAAAAGCAGACTGCTAGCTTTGTATGCCTGTGCTAACTGTACATTTTCCCACCTCAGTTTTGCTGTCTTTGACCCCACCCATTCTTACCTGAACGTCTCCAACTTTTCTTGACGTAGGCTTAAGAGCTTCTTGTAGCACGGCCTGCAGCAAATGGACAAAAAAACGGTTTGGGTTCCCGCGGAACCTGTTTTGTAAACAGGACAGACTGGAGGAGGGGCCTTGTGGGTCCCGGCAGCTGTTAAGAATGTCGTCTGGACTTGGAACGCTGACTTGACAATCTCTGCCTGGAACGAAATGGGACGATTACGTAATCGCAGGTAACAGAGAAAAACAAGAGGTAAACATACTTGTGTTGCAACATCCCCGCCGATCTTTGCCGAAAGTTCAAAGTACTTCACCAGTTTCCCCTGGATGACCTGCGGGGGGGCAGAAATTCCGCAATGAGGGGTCTATTACAGGGGGTCTGTACTATATCAATGGGATCAGGGCCCCTTGTTACAAGATCTACAACTTACACAAGTTTTGTATTCGTCGACAAATTCCAGGGCATCACCTGGTGAGAAATAACACGAAAACATGATCGCCCTACAAACGACGCCAGACTGCTGGCTCTATGCCTATCTTTACTTACTGCACCTCTCTCTCCCCCCTCACCCCTCACCCCTCTCACCATCTCCACCAGCTCCTCCCTTCTTTCTGTCGGCCAAAGCCTCCAATCGAGTGGCTAGCGCCTCCAATCTCTTTGAGGCTGGCAACACAGACATGCAACATTACACTAGACCCCTTGTCTCTCGTCCACAGTCTGTCTGGTGTCAGTTTTGGGAGCACGTGTGCATGTGTGTCTTGTCTTACTTGATCCTCCTGCGGGTGCCGTGCCCTTCGCTCCGGCCACCCCTTCTAGACGAGCGGTTACTGCTTCCAGACGACTCACAAGACCAGCTAAATCTCCAGCCATCTTAGAGAGGGAGAGAGGAAAGAGAGAAGGGGAGAGAGAAGGAAAGAAAATAGAGGCGGCGAAAGAGAGAGAGAGAGAGAGAGAGGAGTTGGGAAGAAGAGAGATGGAGGAGAGAGTGCACAGCTAAGGATGTGGTTAAGGAAGTACAAAAGAAGCTGTTGAGGTTTACTTTGAGGCCAAGGAAAAGGGATGGGGGTGCCTGTTGCTAGGAGACAGTTCATAACCCTGCCAGTTGGCACCGATCTATGCCCTTATAAGGCGTACACAAGGGGTTAAAGGTCACAAATCATCCGTACACACTCGTCAGGGCACACACACACAACAGGGCTTATAAAACACTCATCAATCAAAAACCCATTCAATGCTCACATGAAATGAGCCCTTCGCCTGGGAGTCTAAATTCGGCCAATTATCACGAGCTACGCAAGGACTCCGTGCTAACTACACAGTTCCAGCGTCACGCTCGCAACACGCGGGCGACGGACTCCGCACGTGTGTGCGTAGGGCTCACCTTTCCTCTCCTCTCTCTGCAGATCTGACGACCAGTAGCTACTACCACACAAAGGGGGAGGAAGTCTAGTGCGTGCAAAGGCCGAAAAGGACGGAAACTCCTGTTTTATAGTGCGAGGGGTCGGCAAAGGGGTCTAATTTTCGCCCCCTCCGCGAATTACGCGAGGGGCGTGGTCAGTTTAGGACACGCCCACCTTGCGCGCGAACGTCTCTGCGTTCCCCTCCCCTCTCTCTTAGCTCTCTATACGCTCGGCTAGCAGCTTCCTTCCTTGGTCGTCTGTGAAGCAAGTGAGTCGACTACCGTACAAAAGACGTTTCAGCTATACGGATCAAGCATCCGTGCTTTTCTCCGCTACTCGTGGGAAACACGTGGTAGCTTTACAACACCCGTTCACAAAACCCATCTCTCTCTCTTTCAGAAACGGCGTCTCCCCTCCTCCCACTCTCCCCCGTCTCCCTTCCACACAAATGGCGGCTCCCGCTCCAGCCAACGCTACAATCCAGGAGGAGGAGGACGAGGGCCTAAGACGGCCTAGTTCGCTGTGGGACAGGGTGACGCTGTCCCAGCTCAAACACCTGGTGGCTGGAGGAGTGGCGGGAGCCGTGTCACGGACAGCTGTATCCCCTCTCGAGAGAATGAAGATCCTATTTCAATTGCAGGCAAGATGACAGAGATGGGAATATATAGTATTAGCAAAACCAAAACTTACCTAGGTCCCTAGTATATAGCTATAATTATCGAGAATGTGCAAAACTTTAGCTTTGGCTTTTTTTAACAGAAGTTAGCATTGAGCATTACCTCATCATTACCTCATAAAGGTGGAGACGGTGAAAGGGGAGCGGAAGTTCCAGGGTATGGCTTCCACACTGCGGCTCATTTGGAGAGAGGAAGGGGTTAAAGGATATTTCAAGGGGAACGGAACAAACGTAATGAGAATCGTGCCCTACGTCGCCGTCCAGTTTGCGGCATATGAAGAATACAAGAAGGTATATAACTATCACACACTTTACCCAACCGTTCTCTCCACCCTCTTTCTTTCCAAGCCAAAACTCAGCGTCTTTCTCGCATTTTCTTCCTCTACTCTTTACCAGTTTTGTCTCTCTGACTATTCCCTTTCTCAGCTACACATACAATAATTTACTCGTGCGTTTTTCACCTTATCTTTCTCTCTCTTCTCTCTTCCTTCGTCCCCCAGTTGCTAGGTATACCGGACGATGTGAGGGAGCAGTCGCCTCTGAAACGACTCGTTGCCGGGGGTCTTGCTGGCATCACCTCCGTTACCGCCACGTACCCTCTCGACCTTGTCCGGACCAGACTCTCCGCACAGGGCGAGGGACCAGACAGGAAATACAAGTAATACAACGATGTGGCGATGGGTTTCATGTGTATTACGTAATGGTGATGTCGTTGTGTAGAAACGTGCGGCATGCGTTCAGGACAATCTTGAAAGAGGAGGGAGGGATGTGGAGCGGCTGTCTGTATCGAGGGATTTTCCCCACTCTGTGTGGAATTGCTCCTTACGTCGGCCTCAACTTTGCCGTCTACGAAACACTGAAAGGTTGGCGTTCATTTAACCCTTTCACTACTAGTGGTGGAACCCCTCTCTCTGCGGACAGCTCTTTCCCCAAGAACTGTTCCTTTCATGCATTTAACTCCTTACACTCTGTTCCATTGGTGTCTGGATTAAAAGGGTTCCACTGTATAGGATTAATTAATTAACCCTTACCCCACTATAATCTACCAAGGTTGGGTGATGTTACAGCTACTTGAAGACGACGACAATAGACAGCAGGTGGAGTTGGACTCAGAGTTACCGGTCGGATGGAAACTAGGCTGTGGAGCCATTGCTGGAGCTTTGGGCCAATCAGGTGAGTGTCACATGACAACCTCTGATTGTCACGTGATCCTCACATGACTCGTCTCCATAGTGACGTACCCTCTGGATGTTCTCCGGCGACGAATGCAAATGATAGGGGCAATGGGGGAGAAATTTCCGTATCGCAGTACGCCCCATGCGGTGGTCACGATGTACAGGACTGAAGGGGTGTTGGCATTTTACAAAGGGATGTTGCCCAATGTCATCAAAGTTGCTCCTTCGATCTCCATCGCTTTTGTGACTTACGAGTTTGTAAAGGCCTGGCTCTTTGGGGTTAAAATGACGTGGAGATAATCATGTAAAATTACGTCATTTTTTAATTTATTCATTCATTCATCAGTGAATTCGACACGTTTGGTTTATTATAATAACTGCAACAATCTTTTCAATCACTCAAAATAACATTTTGTTGTCAAGTCGTGTGTGGGATATAACTGATGTTTGTTGCGTTCGCTCTCTAAGTAGGGGTGTGGTTCATTGGTTTCCATAGCTACTGCTGCCAGGTTGGTAGTGTCCAGTGGGTTGTTGGGCACCTGTTGAAGCTCCGCCCCCTCCGTATGCACTTTGACCTCCGTAAGCAGCTGCCTCTTGGGAGGTGTAGCTGGTTGTTCTAGCGGCGGTGTAGGCACTGGCATCTTGCCTGTAGCCGGAGGTCTGCAGCTGCTGAGCTCCACCGTGGCCTGCAGGATAGAAAATAATGCCAGTGACTGTGTCCTACAAGATCTTTGTGTCCTATAGGACAGATGTAATACGGGGTGTCCTGTAGGACAGAATGAAGCCTCTGGCACTGTGTCAAAGGTATTCAGAAAAGCTTCGTGAATCCCACCAGGATGTGTAATAATGTGTAAACATCACTCACACTGTTAAAAAATGAGCAAAGCACTAAAACACAGTATTTTACTGCGAGAGTACCATATGGGGTTCCATGCTGCTGATAGTAGTTCTGCGTGTTCTGTCTTGACCCACCAGACGACTGACTGTGTGCATAGGCAGAAGGATCGTAACCTGCATAACCACCTCCTGCTGCTCCTCCGTACTGACCATAACCAGCCGCTGCCGCTGCAGAGGATTACATCATCGTGATATATGAATTACGTCGTTGTGATGTAATAATACCGGCTTGTGCAGCTGCTGTAGTGTCGTATCCGTAGTACTGTCCGTTGGAATAGAATGCTTGTTGGTAGGCTTGTTGTCCGTTTGTCTGAGAATAATCTGTTCCTGTTTATAGAGAAGAGAGAGGGAGAGATGAGGGAGAGAGGGAGAGAGAGAGAAAGTCGGGCTGGGCAAGTACCAATACACACATGCACGCACGCATGCACCTGCGCGCACACAAACACACTAAGAATGACTAACTAGCTGTTTCTTGCATGCTAATATAATCTCTTGCATGCAAGAGTGTGTTGCAGGGTAGATAAGTACACGCCAGGGTGGGGATATGCCCCGTTGACATGCGAAGACGTTCCAGCATTGCTGTTGGCAGGTCCATGACTCCTACAGTGGTGTGTACTACGTCACTGGAGGGAACACGAGGACTGCCAGTTTACTAGAGAATACTGAGATTTACTGACCAAAGGCTGCTAATTTACTAGTAGATTACTGACCTCACAACTCAACACAGACAGTTTACTATGGAAATTACTGAAATTTACTGATCTAAGCTAAAGGGAGACTACTATATTCAGAATACCTAGCCCCACAGTAAAAATACTAAAGAGATTTCTGTTCGGCCTGCCACACAAATTACTGAGACCCAATCGTTAGATTACTAGAGATTACTAATCCACTAACCACCATAGCCCTGATAGCCATAGGGGGAAACACTCTGCTGAGATTGCCTCATCTGAGCCAGGGCCATGCCGCTAGCCGTCGCCTGACGAGGCTGAGCCTTCTTCACCTCCACCTGCAACACCCACGAAACACAAGACGATGGAGAGAGAAAAGAGTAAGAATTAAACGGTGAATATGTAGCTGTAAATGTACAGCCTGAGATTAAACACAGGTTTCTTTTCCTAGTAAAAGTGCAGTGAAAACAAAGGCAGAGTCCCACACCGATTTTCCATTGATTTCGTGAAAGCGTTTTTGGCACACTCGGGTAACTTGGTCTGGTGAATCCAGCGTCACAAATCCAAAACCTTTAACCACACAGACAACCCCACGTGTAGGAGAAGGGGAGGAGAAGGGGAGGAGACACACAGAGGTAGGTTAGCAGTAGGGTTAGACACACCAAGTAGTAGTTTAAAAGTGTACGTTTGTAAGGGAAGCACCTGCAACTTAAAGACTTGGACAGCAGTGTGTTAGTAACACCACTGAGACTGGGGGAAAGGGGAAGAGCTCAGGGGGGAAGGAGAGGGAGAGGGAGAGAGAAGAGAGGAGGGGGGGATTGAAAAGGAAATAAAGAAGGCTAATCTTCTTTACAAAGACCCCGTCTCAGTGGTTTCCACAAGTTAAGAGGAGAGAGAAAGAGCGCCATACCCCTCATCCGCTGGGTTGCCTTGTCATACTTGAACTCCACCTCAACCTCCGTCACACCCTGTGGGATCGTTCAAAAATTACACCGCGGGCCAACGATAAAAAAACACAAGTTGCTTCGTCACCCACATAGGTGTGGACGAAGTAGTCCCTGACATTCTCTACAGTGGTTCCAGCACTTATTCCGCCGACAAACATCTTTTTCTCGCAGTCTTCACCCCCTGATGTTTGGTTTATCTGCAGGGGAAGAGAGGGGGAGAGAGAGAGAGAGAAGCTTGAGTTGAACCCGTGTTCTAAATACAAGAGAGCAAAGCTTACACCCATCTGCATTGGCCTCGGAGCTGCCGGTTTCAGCTCAGCCGGCTTTGGGTCAATCTGCAGAAGATTCATTCGAAAAGTCTCACAAATGGACGTGCAATCCCGTATTTTCCCTGAAGAAACGTACCCTTTTGTCGTCGAGAAGATGTGGTATGGGATGCGTAAGAACGCTGACAGCCGAGTCTGAGCTTTCAAACGTCACAAATCCAAAACCACTGCAGAAAGAAAAGGGTGGTGATTCTCTCTCCCTCCCTCCTCCCTCCCACCAGTTGTGTATATACCGGTGTCTCTTGCTGGAGGGGTCCTGCCTAGCTTCCTCGTGGTCCTTCTTTATCTCCACCTCCAGAACGTTGCCGAACTTTCTGAAGTACGCCTCCATACTGTCTGTGGACGAGCGACGGAGATTGCGTCACAAACAAAACGCTCATACACTGCACTTCCGCTATATACTACATTATACAGTAATACGTTCAGGGACACGAACACACATACGCACAAAGGGCGTACTACACAAACTACGGTATATACGCCCAGGCTAAATTCTACGTAGCTTACTTACCTTTGTCCGTCATCTGGCTTATCCCTCCCACGAATAACTTTCTGGAAGGAACAAAGAGAGTAGTTAGAGAGTGGTGCACGGTTCCAAAAAAAATGGCTACACTCACTTCGCGTCGACTCCCTCCATGATACCAGCGTTCTCAGGTCGGTCAATGGACGGCGATTGGGAAAGGAATCACTCTGCTACTTAGTGGAGTACGTACGTAGGTTATTACAGCTACCTAGCCTACGATTACAGTAGAACTAAGTGGTACACACTACTACGGGACTACAGTACAACAACGAGAAACTTTCTCGTCGCAACGGAGTAGAGATTTGTGCGCATGCGCATCTTTACGTCATAAAACCGCGCAAGCGTGCGAGTGCGGCACGCCTTTAGGAGTCTCCGCCGCCTTTGGGGTCTGGTATAACCGTCTCGATCGCGGGGAACGAGCCGCTACTCTGCTATTAAAGACACTATAATAGCTCGGGAATCTTTCATTTTGTCTTCTAGCCCACAATGGACGGTTCAGAACCGGAAGAATACGAGCCAAAGTGAGAAACGAAAACGCCATTTTCCCCAACTATAAATACTCGTCTCGTTCCACAGTAAGATCTTTGTGGGCGGCTTGAGTTGGAACACGACTGAAGGTGAGAGTGTCCGTGGCACACTGGCTGCATATATACATACCACCTTTATACAGAGAACATGAGGGCCTATTTCTCTCAGTTTGGGGCTGTGACTGAATGTGTGGTGATGAAAGACCCATTTCAGCCGGAAAACTTGAAAAGAAACAGGTGCAACTCTCTCTCTCTCTTTCTCTCTCCCACTTGATCTTATTCAATTGCTGATACAGGGGGTTCGGTTTTGTCAAATTCGAAGATCCGGCTGCAGTGGATCGCGTCGTGAATCCACAAACCACTCACACCCTGGACGAAAAGACGGTGAGTAGTGTCACGTGACTATCACGCTATCTACAAGTGCATTCCTGTGGTTGTGCTAATTGGAGTGTAAATTAGACCTTTCATTGTCTCCATCTCACAGATTGACCCCAAAAGAGCTCAGAAGAAATCGGTGAGTTGTGAATTTTTAGTAACTGATGCCATCATTATTCCCCCCCTCTCCTCTCCCACCTTCTCCCCCTCTCTCTTCTTTCCCTCGTTCGCTCTCCCTCCCTCTCTTCCTGTCCCTCCCTCCCTCCTTCCTTCTCCTATATAGCAGGGTGTAAAGGACACAGACAAGAAGGTCTTCATTGGAGGGCTGGCCAGTACAACAACTGAAGAGCAGGTCAAGGACTACTTCAACACGCAGTATGGCGGAGTGAGTATATACAATACGGTACAAGTCCTTTTTCACCCACTGCTCTGTCCCACATTTCCTTGTAGGTGGTCGAAGTTGTGTTCAAAATGGACGGCAAAACGCAGCGAAAAGAGGTCAGAATGTTATGAAAGAAAAGTGGTTTTTCCTCACCTCAATATTGCTATATATATCTGTGTTTATTTGTTGGGCATTACTAAAGTTATTTTTTCATGGGTGACCCATGGTCCAAAATTAACATTTGAAATGCAAAAAATCGCCTACACCACACATCTTTATCTTTTGCCCCCCTCCCCGCTATTGGCGTCAGCGCGATTTTCCTCTTTTCCCCGTTCCTTCCTTTCCCTCCCTTTCTGTCTTTCTCCCCCCTCCTCCCCTTTCCTCCTCTTTCTCCTCCCCCTCGTCTCCCCCCT